GGCGGCGGTCCCTCCTGCCGGGGCAGCTGCAGCTTGGTTAACCTGGTACTGGGCAGCCTTGATCTTGGCTTGCAGGTGTGCAGGAGGGTGAAAATATTTGCACTTTTCCCGTGAGCATCTCCCTTTGATGTAATCCATGCAGACAGTGACTGTGTTGTCATTGGTGTCGATCATCGCGCTGTCGGCGGGGTGAGCGAACCGGCAGTCGTTCTCTCCCCTGTTGCAGTTGCCACGCTGGTACTCTCGACATACCTGTGACAGCAGGAAAAGAAAGTTGCTTAATTTGTGTGAGGGGTGTTGTGGGCACGGCTCGGAGCAGAGTCGGGATTTCTGAAGGTCTGCGAGAGCGCCGTGAGGAGGGGTGCCCGTCCCCAGGTGGAGCACAGCAGTGGTGGGATGGTGGGCTTGGCTCTCTGGCAGCAGGGACCTGGCTTTTCTAAAGCCACTTCTGATGCCAAAGAGCATCAAAAGCCACCGGGATCAAGAGTCAAGCACACAGCCCGCAACAGGGAGCAAGCTGCACTCATGGGGCGTGCAGCGCCGCACCAGCCTCCACCATCCAGGCGTCTGCCACGAGAGGGCAATCCAAAACCCGCAGCGGCGGCCGGTGCCCCCCCCCCGCGGCATCGCCCGTGGGCTCAGCAGAAGGTGGGCCGTGTTGGGAAAGAGCAGCGGCTGCAGCTGGAGCGGCCACCAGTCCCGCTGTCACACTGCCGCCGCGTGACAGCAGCCAAACGAAGCTGAGGGGATCAGAAATTGCACAAAGAAACCTGCTTGGCTGGAGGGCATCCCCTGCAGCATCCCCGGTGCTGGGACGCGGGCTCCAGCCCGGCCTCGAGCCAGCACAGACCCCTCCCAAACCTCCAGCCACTGCCAGCGGCACAAACACTAACTTCATCACCAGTGCGACAAACTGGCTGCCTCATCACACACCTCGCAAACCCCGTATCTAAGAAAGTGATTTGTGTTCCTTTCATGGTGAGCTCTTCACAAACCGCAAACAAAAACGTGTTTGTCATTTTGAGTTTTCCAAAGGCTATAGGAAACAGAAAGGGACAAAAGCAACTAATTTGTTTAAAAATAAAACCACTTCAGTAAATGGAATTTCCTTTTAAAGGTGGGTGCCCATGAGCTTGGATCATCAGTATTTCCTCAAGGACCTTGGCTCTAATCCCTGCAACAAACCAAATTTGGTTCTTATTTGGTTTCTGTCCATGCTAGTGCTCTAAGCTGCTTTTAACCCCTGTGCTGCTTCAAGTACCAGCTGCCCATCATATGAAATGACATCCCCAAAGGACAAGAGCAATGCCATTTGTGAACCCGTTCACAGGAAACATCCATTTTGTCCCAGGGTCATTCCAGCATGACCCTATTTATAGTCTTCTTCCACGTGGTGATGAAGTCTCTGGCTGTACATTTGCAGCAGAGCCAAAGGAGCCAGTTCAGGCACCTCCATTGTTCTCGTGCATCCCTGTGGCCCTACTGCTCACGGCTCGGTCTGTGCAGAACTGTTTCTGCAGCACACATGAAACAGACTGGGGCAATTCCTCATCTGGAGAAAAATAACCACTTGCCTTCCGAGTAATTCTGCAGCCAGATCCCCCCTAGTCTAGACCCCATGCAGCGACACGGACCACTCTGCCAGCTACCACAACACAGGGAGTAACTGGGGAAGGAGGCAGTGCCTGTTTAAGCCATCAAGAAACACAAGTCATCTTCTGGTATCTGTTATGTGCTTGCACCATCCCTGCTCACACGAGACTCCTGGTGTCTCTCCCCCCACACTCTCAAGAACACACCAAACGGAGCTGGCGTGTCACTGCTTCTCCAAGAGAGCTGTGCTGGGCTGGTCAGCCCCACCGCCTGCGGTATGGCTTGCTCCCTTTCATCGGCTAGGAATACTTTCTGTGTCCTGAACCAGTGTCTTCTACCCAAACGCAGGCCTCCCAAATAGACATATTTCTGTACCAGCACTAGTGTGGCCAGCAGGAGCAGGGCAGGGATCGTGCCCCTGTACTCGGCACTGGTGAGGCCGCACCTCGAATCCTGTGTTCAGTGTTGGGCCCCTCACTACAAGAAGGATGTTGAGGTGCTGGAGCGTGTCCAGAGAAGGGCAACGAAGCTGGGGAGGGGTCTGGAGCACAAGTCTGATGGGGAGCGGCTGAGGGAACTGGGGGTGTTCAGTCTGGAGAAGAGGAGGCTGAGGGGAGCCCTCATCGCTCTCTACAACTACCTGGAGGGGGTTGTGGTGAGGTGGGGATTGGTCTCTTCTCTCAAGTAACAAGTCATGGGACAAGAGGAAATGGCCTCCAGTTGCACCAGGGGAAGTTTAGACCGGATATTAGGAACCATTTCTTTACTGAAAGAGTGGTCAGGCATTGGTACAGGCTGCCCAGGGCGGTGGTGGAGTCACCATCCCCGGAGGTGTTAAAAACACCTGTGGATGTGGCGCTTCGGGACATGGTTCAGTGGGCATGGTGGTGTTGGGTTAACAGTTGGACTTGATGATCTTAAAGGTCCTTTCCAACCTTAACGAGTTTGTGATTCTATAACAAAAACGGATAATTTCCTTTTATTATTTGTCTAGAAGTAAACTGAAGTCTTTTGCTCTGAAGATAAAGAAAAGGATGCAACTAATGTCAGTTGACTGTCTTTGCTCTTTGTCTTGTACTGATGATCCACAAAACCAAGCCACATGTAAGCAAGAACTACTCCATTAATAACACAAAGATGATATATACAAATTCACATATTAAGTGTACACATATATAAAAGTATCTATATACACAGAGGGGGAAAGAAAATGCATCCACAGATAAGCTAATTTTATCATAGTTAAAAACCAAAGAAGAATGACCAGAGAACTGAAATAGTTAGGCAGATAGAGATAATCTTTGACATGTCCAGAGCAAATTTTCAGAGCTGTCATGCAGTAGCTGAGATAAGGCAATGAATGGCTCGCTCTCATTGCTCCTTAACAGATATCTGAATGATGGTTGACAGCAGTCAGAAACAAACCATAATACTGCTAGTCCTTTTAATCAGTGTGACCAGCGATGGCTTTTCAACCACTGTGATGGTAACTGAGAATGTTTCCAATTCTTGTTTATTTAAAAGCAAGCATTGAAAATGCACACACAGCACTATATCATTCATCTGCTTAAGTAAAGAGAGGCACAGAAACATAGTATGTTGTCTGGTCTTTCAGATCTGGAGAGCTTTTATTTAGTCATTTACTAATAGCTCTGTAATTAGTATTATAATTTTCAACTCAGTATGTTAAGAAACATAAACAAAAGAGGCACCTGTACATCTCTAGACTGTCTGCAAAAATGCCAAGTTAGTGCTGCAATATTACTGACTCGTAATTCACTTAACTTGTTCTAACTTTGGGCTGAGTTTATTCTGATCGCCTGGCTGGGATTCAAGCTGCCCACCCTGGTGGGGAGACAACCGCCACGCCACCTAAGGCAGAGGTCCCTCTCTGCTCCCCCAAAAGCTGGGCAGGGGCTTGGCTGGAGGGACATGGACAGCAGAGCTGAGATCCTTGCCCTTCCATGAGCAAGTCACACCTCCTGTCTCCTCTGCATTGAAGAGAATCTGCCAAAATGGGCATACTGTTACCCAGTATGTTCTGAACGTTTAAACAAACGGCACCACTAAGTCAGATTTCCTGATTACCCAAGATCTGAAAGTCTCCAAGAACTTCTAAGCTGCTTCTTTCTGGCAAAAAAATGGTATATATGAAACAAGCAGGAAACTGCAGCTCAGTTGTGGTAACTCTTGACTCCTGAATACTTCTAATAGAAATGGATGGCATTCAAACGGAAACACATGCGTTTTAAATAAAACTGTTAGGCAATCCTTTCTCTCTCACTTCCCCATCCTTTTTGCTTCTCCTCTAGTTCGCTGGAAGAGCCACACTTTTGTTCAAGATATTTCTGACAGGAGAGGAGTGTGAGGAAAGCTGTAGGAAAAGCCTGAATCCATGAAATTTCCACTCTAAGATCCAGATTCCTTATGGGAGTGGCTGAACACACTGGACACCCAAACATCTGCATTCCATCCATACAGGCGACACGGTCCAAATACACATGAAATCAATCCTACTGCTAGTAACAGTCTCTGACCTTATCTTATGAATATTCACATTAATTCAGGAGACCAGCCTGCTGCCCAACAGATTTGTGTTGTCTGCTGCTTTCCTTAAAATCCCAGGTATATGTATTGAGAGCTTTTAGCTGTGGAACAGTCTGATTCAGTATCCCAGAACACAAGTGCTAATTAATGCTACAGTACATCATTCTTGAAAGTAAGTATTTGAAATTCTAAGCAGAACAAATCATATTCCAAGATTAGATGCTAACATCATAGCAGTTATTTTTCTCAAGGACAGTTCATTCCAAGGGAGAGCGAGCTAAGCCTTATAAAGCTCTCTAATCATGTCATAACAAATGATAATACCAACAGCAGTAAGCTCACTTAAAGAGCAGGTAGACACATGCTGGCTTCTCTGAGAGGTAACAACCAGACCACGCAAAATCTTTCAAATCAGTTCTGCATTTCTGTAATCCATAAAGTACATTAAAATGTTTTTCTGTTCATAAAAATGATATGCTTATTTGGTATTTGTATACTAAGTTTGGATACTCCAGATTAAATGACCAACAGACTGGAGAGCACCAGCAAATTATCTTCTCGCCTACGTATTTCAGTATTTAAACTGCATTTGCTGAAGGGAAAAAAGGAGGAGGAAAAGGCACCCCTTCACTGCAACAGATACTAATTTTGTAAGACAGCAGCGTGGTGTGGAATTGCAGAGTCAGTGGGTCAACCTGAATGTGGCTCTTAACCCAGTCAAAATAAAAAGCAGCTTAAAGAA